TGTGTACTTCCTGGTTTGAACTTAAATTCTGCTTTTCGTAACTGCTGCTGAATAAAAAAAAATCAAAATAGATTAGGCACCCCTTCCAATGCAGTCCCTTAAGCATAAGTTACACTAGCTTCTCGAAAGTGATGGGAGCATTACACATAAACTAACACTAACCATCGTGAGAATTAAAAGCAGTTTTGGTTATACTTTTGTCATCCAGCTCAACTTTCAAACCCCTGGAAACCATGGCTAAAGTTCTGAACTATTGAGCATCTTCCAGTACATCCAACCATTCACCTCCCTGCAACAATGAGAAGATTGTTCTTTCTGCCAATCACAGGTGAGGATAGCCATGGCTGTGTGATTCCATTCTTTAATATACACTATTTTGACACTGACATTGTCCATATTATCCCAGGGAAGCCCGCACAGTGGTTGTTTACTCAGATGTGTATTGCCTGTATCTATGTAGTGGCACATATCATTTTGGTTCTACCAAGTTGGCCATCCATGATCACAAATAAACCATCACACTTAACCCACAGGTCACTAATAGTCTGCCACAGTATTAAATCCAGATTGTTTTGCAATCTTCAACTAGTGCAATTAGAGTTATTGGTTGCTGAGTATTTGCTTTCAGATGTGAGGTGATGGAAACAACACTACTGTTATTGCTAGTATTGGTTTTCCCCATTTAATTTGCCATACTAATGACCACTCTGTTCATTGTTGAAGGACCAAGTCCCAGGTCACTCTCCATGTTAATGCTGCTTGTTTTTGGACGAGAAACAGTATTTCAGGCTAACACATTAAACCTAGTACAAAGTAAATCAAGGAAGAACACTTGTGTACACATAGGTCTCATGACTCTCTCCATGATGTAAATTCTTGTAGTCCACTATTCCTGGCTCTGTTCTAACTGGCATTGGATGCTTTTCTCATAGAAACCTAGCTATCTTTTGCACAAGTAAAATTGATCGATAGTTTCTGCAGTACATCTCTTCTAATGATATCCATACCAGAACCAAGATCCTTGATGGCTAACTTCAATCTGTGATCCATGAAATCTAGACTTAGTCTGAGATATGCTTTCCTATTCACACCTAATCTACTACCATCTGCCAGAGTGAAGTTAATGTTAGCTGGCTAGAGTGGTGGCTTCATTTGGAATGCCTGATACTTATTATTATTCACCAAGCTGCTCTTATATCAATCAAGAGCTCCATTTCTTGTTCATCTATCTTTAATGCATGTACTAAGCACCACTCAACTCTGAGAAAACTGGACCAACTACTACAACTGTTGCTGCAAACTACCTGCTGCACTTCTCCTAGTCAGATACAATTCAGGCTCTTTTAGTTTTCCAGAACTGAAGCAGCTGCAACTAAAGCTATTTGCCAACTTTCCTACATCTGTCATGGAATCAAGAGTCTGGTTACTTGAAATATATTTTTGCCTGGCAGGATATCAGCAGTTCATTCCAAAGTTACCTTGTTACACGCAATCAAGGCAAATCGTTTGTTCTCTCTTTTTGGGTGATCTGTACAGAGGCATTACCGGCAAAAGCTGCATCATAAAAATCATGGGAGGGCCAGGAAAGCCTTGATCATTAATTGGAAACCAGCACAGATCGAGTTAACATTAAGTATATGCTCAAGTATGTTTTTTTTTGGTATAGAATGTATTTCCTCTTCTATAATATGTTTGAAGTCACGAACTTGAACTTCATTACCACAGAAACCACCTCTGTTAAGGTCAAAATATATCTTGCCCCCAAATTGTTTTTTCATCATCAACTATTCAAAAGTGCTCGAGTTTTGGGTCTCGTTTTGAAAATATTACAACTATTGTAGGTGATCCTATGTGCTAACTACTTAACCTGGACTCATGATTTGCAGATGCCATTGCAGTATATGTATTCCAATGCAACACACATCATCAGTGTTGGCACACAAATTCTCAGAGGAGCCCCTTCTTCAAGCCTCAAACTCAACCTGATGGACAGCTCAATTTTCCCATCTGGTTGAAGACTGAACTGGTCCAAACTCAGGCTTAGGCATTGATTACCTGCTTCCAAGTCCAACCATCCCAGAAATGTTATCAAGCAACAGTTAGTCTTCATTTGCCACCCTCTTAAACGTTGGAGAAGAGAGGCATAGAAACACTGATGGTTTATCATGATAGCCAGTAAGATCATGCTTATTCCTTGAATGTTCAGATCCTAGACACTGCACAGTAGTTATAGCAATTGCAGCAGTGTGAAAATGACCATATCAGCAATGACAATTCTGCATTTGGATGGATATCAAGGATGACCAATCAGAAAACTTGAGAAAAACAACTAATTGAAGGACCCAAATATAACTTGGGAGATACTTGATATGCATCAAGGTACTGTAGGTCCATCACAAATTGGTAAATTGTGTTCTGATGTGCACAATATCTGACATTAGCCAGTAATAGTGCAGGATGGCATGTTTTACTGTTGTAATAGACCACCAAAATGTGGAAGCCAACCTGTGATGCAGCTAGTGGTATCCATTGCTCTCAGACAAGGAATCATTCACTCTGAAAGCACTGGGATGTGTCTCGTGCGGAACTGTGAATGAGTGACAACACTTTCTTTGGCTGCATTTACATTAAGATATTGAGCAATGGTGTAGAAACTGTACCACTCATACTGCCTAGAGGAAAAACTTGGAGAGCCAGGGAAAACTTCAACATGAAGTTGTGTGTTCCTCTTTGATGCTAGTTTTAATAGGTTTAAGTACAGCTTGTTTTGAAATTGCTAGTTCATATAGGCTCAAAATAAACTGATTGCTTTTACTTTTCATATGTTATGTAACTGCTATGGTTGAGAGGCTTAAATGTAAAGTTTATAATTAACTTCAGAATGTTTACAAGGCCACATATGGATTTTTAAGCTTATACACTTTTAAAAGAATATCAAACTCGGATACCAATATCTAAGTTTATAAGATATAACTCATTTTAGCAGCTTACCAAGGACAGATTATCCAAGCTCATAATTTTTTTCAGCATGTCAACAAGGTCACATTTTCCAAGTTCATAACCCTTTTCAGCAGGCTACCAAGGTAACAGTTTCCATATTTTTAAATTTAAAAAAGCCTTAAATTTTCCACATTATAGCATTTTCAGAGAAACTTCAAAATAATTCCGTAATGGTTTTCCAGTTTTTTTCACCAAGCATCAAATATTTCTTAAAATTCCCAACTTGGTAACTTTCTTTTAAGTTGGTCACTCGTAAATTTCGAGGCATGAGCTAATACCAGAAACCTACCTAGAGATCCTAATTCAAACATTTTTATACGAGCTTTTAAAATTTGAAATCTATACTTAAATCACACAAACAATTGTACACCCACTACTTTTATACATTTTGTACTTGTATGACAGTAGAAGTATAACAGAATTTATAATATCCAAAATTATTCAGTCTTATGCATGTACAGCATCTTGAAATTTGTGCCACACTGTAGATTAAAATAATGCAGCATGAATTCCAATATACTGGAGCTATCACCCACATTGCACATTTTGCTTTAGGCCCGGGAATGGTATAACCAACAAAGCTATAATTTTTTTCTGCATCAGATGGACAATAGGATGACTTTTTTTTTGGAAAAGCACATCAGTCAAGCTGAGTATATCTATAATATACCATTGTGATATTTTAATACTTTTCTTTTTCAGACAAGCTGATTTTAGCTGAAGGTTCTACAGTAAAAAGGTTAATCTCATCTAACTTAAACCTATGCATTTGGTCCTTAAACAAACACTGGTAGGACTGCTAAATTTGTAATTTTTTAGGCCTAAGTATTTTTTTTGTTCTTTAGATACTTAACAATTGTTGAATTTGTAATTAAGATATGCTGTATAATGTTGTTTTACAGATGGTTTAAATTTGTACATGAAAATATGTTTTATATACATCTCTGATAAGTGAATTTTCTAATTTTTCACCTTAAAATTTGATTGTAAATAAAAAATATATTTTAACTCAGTTCTAATTCTATGAAAAATGTCTTTGTACAGTGATTTCTTTAATAACATCTTCAAGAAACAATGATTACTTCTGATCTAAAAGAAAATCTGTTATGCTGAATTAGTAATTTTATCAGTAAAAGTTATGAATTTTTAAATAGTGTGATCAGTCAGTTTCCTTATTCTTTAGTTATTTTTCTTATGAACACACCTTTAAAACCGAATAAACCATTAAACATAACAAACATACCCAACAGATGTCGAATGATAATTATAACAATTTCTCTTCTGCTTATAAGGTGAACAAAAATATTTAAATGTCAGCAATATCTCAGACTTTGAAGGATTACAGGTGATATTTCAATTGTTCACAGTCTCTCAGATATTTGGCTGTTAGAGACAAAGGATAGTTTGGTATTTTAAAAGAGTAAAAATTTTTCTGGATCTCAACATTCTTAGTAGGCTACAAGTATTCTCATCTCAGTATGAGAGTTCCCCAAAGAGAGAAGTGAAATTTTATCTTATACAGAAATAAATCATTACTGAAATGTAACTTACTAGAAATACACATTTAATTATAAACTACTTCATTAATCACAAATTAGGTGATTTGTCAGAAACAGAAAAACTTCAGAAGTTTTACAGTTTAATATTAATAATAATAAAGAAAAACTCGTGTGAAAATGCACTATAGTGTAGTAACTGTCTATTTTTGAGTTTGATACAGGAGTAATACATGAAAAAATGAGAAACTTTGTTGTTAATCTATAATATTCTAACACTCAACACACATCTGTATATAAACATTACATTAATACATACATTGTTAATGTTGTGATTAACAATGTAGATTCTACAAAAGCACAGTATTTTAGCATTCATTTTACTTTTATTAGTTAAAACTAAATATTGTTATAAAATAAAAAGTACTCAAAAATTCAAGGTAAAGACATATTAAGAAGTGGTGATGTGTGAATGAAAACAATAAGCTTAATACAACATTCATCTCATTAGCTAAGAACTTCCATCTGATATTTTATTTGCTTTCCATGAAGCCAAATTACTCCCACAAGAGACACATGAAGTCTGTACATGATACTTCCTCATCCTGACTACTAACACACTGTCAAAACAGAAGAAACATATCCCAGCTTCTGTTGATCTAAAACCTCTGGTTCTACAACTTCCACCATCAACGTCTTCGAAACAGTCCACTAGTCCATGACTGCACAAGAGTTTTCTGCTTCTCTTCTTGCAGTTCTTTCATTTGTCGTTCTTGTTCCTCCTGAAAGTTGTTTTCACACACATTAATAATATTTTCATTTCCAATATATTAAAATTACTACAACCACACACGTATTCTTATATTTACACAGATATTTCATCACAATAACTTAAACTTAGATGAAAACTGAAGTCATGTGACCGACTTATTAATATGACAGACAGTACAATAAACCCTTAACACTACATTAGAAACAATAGGATCATGGCACTTGTGTACAAATTATTTATTGAGAAAAACAAACAAACTCTATTTAAACAATGTTATGTATGTAATACTTTAAAATGTTGAAGGTACCAAGCCTTACTAAAAACATTCTACATATTTTAGTGTCACAAAAAGGTTTTATTGCCTTATAATGGTGAGTCTGTGATCCACCAAAACATGTAGGATATTTTTAGTAAAACTTGGTGGCATCAACAATTTTAAGGTATAATATACTTTTAGAAATTCTTTAAATGGAGTTTTTCTAATTAAAAAAACCTTAACACTACTAGCAAATAAACTATCTATAAAAACCAGAAATTATTACTAAACCCTTATTTTTCACAAGTCATGTTACTTATTAATATGACAACCAGAACAATAAACTCAATGTTATTGGTGGATAAACTACTTACCAAACTTCAAAAAGAATTACTAAAGTTAACATTTACCTTGCCTGAAAATGTTTTTCAGATATATACCTCTCTGCAGAACTGAAAACTATTACCTCAGGTAATTGCAAAAAAAAATAAAAACCTCATGCACATTCAGCAAGCCTTTGAATGAAACTCTCACTCCATGTTCAACAATCAGCATTAGACTGCAGCCCTTCATGTGCATTACTCCATTTCAGCACATTTTGTATTACCAAAGACTCATTCTTGACAAGGCAAAAGAGAGATAAAAGAAGTAAGGAGGAAGGGTAGGTGGATCCGTGGAGAGGTGAGTTTCTATCTTATGGTACATTTTCAGGTATGGAAAATGTTAACTTCAGAAGTGCAACTCATAATTTCAACAAAGCTATTAACTAGAATCCCACATTGATAAGATGGTGGAAGGACCAGAGTAGATAAAGAAAACTACAAGCACCTTTCTGAAGGTACCAAAACAAACAAAAAACTCATGGAGCAAGTGTATGCAGTGTGGCTATGGTAGTAAGACAGGCAGTAAGATATGTGAGAAATACTATGTGAAATACCTAAGATACCAGAATAAGCAGAAACAGGGATGAATTATCACAAACCTGCATCCCAAGAAGAATGGAAGACACTTCCCCCCAACTGGCATAACCACTAACCCACCCGAGCCACCAAAGTCTTGGGGAGGAAGTATGAAGAACAGATTAGTGTGATCTTGCTCTAGTAAAGATGTTAGGATAGTGATGCAGAGCCTTAGAAGGAAAGGGTAAAGGGGATAGCAAGCTAAGAAGGTGAGTAAGCATAAAACAAAGAGCAGACTGAAGGTAAAAGATAAAGAAAAATCATCAAGCTGGAAGAAGAGATTCAAGAGATAGAAGAAACATAAAATAGGAAAAAGTTCAACACAAGCCAAAGAGAAGGAATCTGAAGCTCTGAGAGGACATGACAAGTGAAAATCAACACAAAGCATAAAGTGGAAGAATCTGCAATAATCTAACAAACAAATGACAGAGGAAGAAGAGAAAAACATCTTATGAGTTGAATTACATGCAAGAAGCTCACCTGAGAAACAGTAGAAAACAACTGGAGAAAAAAGAACATGTCACCTATACGAGTTATCATAGTAGTAAAGGACAAAGATGGGAGTTATCCTAGTCACGGATAAAAGAACCAGAAGCAAATGTAGGTTGAGGAAAGAACTGTCAAAGATATCCAAAGAGAAGGCAGACTCAACAGAAGATACAAAAGTAAGAGGTCATAAAATTCTGGGTCTGAGATGAACCAACCACTGCTCACTGCATAACTCAATTTGCCATTGAAATAAAATAAGACAACTCCTACAAAGGAGATCCTGGATCTCTGAAAGTTTCAGAAACATGGATATGAGAAGTCAAATTCAATAAGATTCATAGAAATCAATTCATAGAGAATTATTATTTTTTTCCAAATAGGCCTAGTATGTCTATGGTACTTGGGTCTTGGTAATTTTGTATCGATGAAAATTGTGATTTAGTATCGAAACCTGAACACTGAGTTAAGAACAATGGGGAATATACTGTCAAAGAAATCAAATCCCAGATTTAGGAATACGTGTCCTAAAATCTTGTAATTTAATTAGGTTAAAAAATCAAATGAATGTAAGAAGAAATAATTCCCATCAGAAGTTGTAGCTGAAACTTTAAAAATTTGGATCATTCTTTCTTGAAAGCATGAAATTATTACAAGTAAGAGGTATAATACTTTAAATGTTAATCAAACATTTCAAATAATAAGCATGAAAATTTCACAAAATAAAAGAATGAGCCTTTGATGTACACAATGTGCTCAACAGGAGGGCAACACATGGAGGATGTGTTGCCTTCCTATTGTTGGAGGGGTATAGTTTAATACTGACTGCATCATAAACTTGTGCAGTACAACATATGTATAGGAGTAGAATTTTTGTTTAAAGGCTTGGAGTATGTGTAAAAACTCTTTCGACAGTGGCATGAGGTAATAGCTCTCTGTTCTTTGGAGAAGTGAATAGTGTTTCTGAACCCTTGCTTTTCATAAGTTATGTTACCTATGTTAATATGACAGCTAGTAGAATAAACCCTTAGCACTATTGGTAAATAAACTATCTATCAAAACCAGAAAGTGTTACTAAACCCTCAATTTTCCATACCTAATGTTATCTATTAATATGACAACCAGTAAAATAACCCCCAAAACACTACAGATGAATAAGCTACTTACCAAACACAAAATTGCTAAGCCTATTTTCTACACAAGTTATGTTACCTATTAATATAACAGCCAGAACAACAAACTCTGAACAATACTGGTGAATAAATGGCCTTACAACAAACAACAGAAATGTGACTAAGGTCTTTTTTTCTCAATCAAGTTATGTTTTCTGTCCAAAAAACAGATAATACAGCTATCAACTCTTATTTCCACATGCCACAAAGTTATCTATTCAAATACCAAATATTATGTTTCTCCAAAGTTATTATGCCTGTCCACCTGACAGGCAGCATGGCTAAGTTTGTAACCGTACACGACAAATGTTAATTTGTGGCCAGTAACTGCTTTCTTTGTCACCTTTCTTCTTTTCTAATCCAACTCTAACACTATGTTTTAGCTGCTATTCTGCTGTGGTTTCACTAATGAGCAATGGAAATAGTAATCTTAAGAATGAATAGTAATGACAATGTAAACAATAGAGAAGATAACCTATAATCATTCAGTCATCTATCTCTATATGAAAGATCTTCCAGAGTGCACTCACAGAATCTACAAACAATATCAGAACAGAACATTTTAAAAAAGCCTTAACGTCCAACTATCCCAAGCAGTGCAAGACCCTCTCCAAACCCGTTAGAACAAAGAAAAGTAACTTATGGAATTTCAAGTGTGTATTAATTATCATAAAAATATGCCAGGAGTCAAACATGCAGAAAATACAAATTAAAGATGCCTTCTACATCCACCTAGTTAAGCCTTCCACACCCAACTAACTAACAATATTTTAAGTAAACCAAGTACTGAAGTTAACAGAACCTGGTTAACACTACTGACAAACACAAATACAACATCCAAACCCTCTGTGATTGGGAAACAGCCCACTCCATTGGATAGCAGTGCTTCTTTCTGTACCTAGAGTTCCATGTTCCAATATCATAACAGTCTCTCTTTGAAATACATAACTGAAAATGGTAACATATTAGCAGCTAAAACTTAAAGGGTTAATTAAAACATTAGATTAGACAAGAGATTAAACTAATGACAAAAACAAGACAAGGCAATTATGGACTATAATTAATTACCATATTCTTTAATCAGTTGCAGAAACTCCTCAACCTTAATTATACAGATAATTATGGTACTTAGCCTGATTTCAGATGCAAAAGGTTGTTCATGACATATAGTAACAATTTTAATATCCATTCACTTTAAGCATGGCTATCTCTGTAGCCTGTGACTACACGCATTAAAAGCCAATAACCTTTTTGTTTGTAACTCAGAGTGGTGATCCTATCAGTTTATCCCATCTCAGAGGTTACATTGCAAGACTTTTTGAAACAAGTCTGATACTCCATGATAATGAATATATAAACAATACAAAATATTAATGTTTTAGAAAAAAGGAATATTGCTAGTGTTGAATTATCCTGATACAACAAAATATGGCATGACTTCAGCAAAGAAGAAACAGACTGCTGCACAACTGGCTATAAGTTACACACTGAAGGTAGCAGAGAAAGTAAAACACTATGCCAGCTAAAGTAACCCCAAAACACAGCAATTCATTGCAGCCAAACAAGAAAACTCCCTTGGAGCTGTAACAAAATAGTTTACACAAATCTGAGCCTCAAAAACTGATACAAGAGTTATATTCATAAGCTTTAAACTTCTCTCAAAGTACATGGGTGAATGGAAGACCAAATGTGAGAAGCTGAATGAGTGGCATCTGACATGTGAAAAATGGAAGAATTCTGTCACACTGGACAAAGCATTGTTTTCACTTAACCCTTTCACTGCTGCTGCACAGTATTATACAACCTTTGACCTTTCATTAATAACTCATAAAAAGTTTCCAAATCTGAACAGACAGACATTTCAACAATACATCACAATATATTTTAGATTGTTTCTGTAAAATTCTGAGTTATAATGAAACAAAAACCATTATGTAAGATAGTAATATACAATGAAATTATGTAGTATGCCCATAACCGGTAACCTACAAGCTACGTTTCTTACACAATCAGCCTACAGGTGACACAAATTTTGTTACTCAAGATTCACCAGTACCTCTTTTTTGTTCTTACACAAAATGATTGTCTAAGAAAGAGACATGCATCAACATTTAGATAACTTCTACATCCTTGCACACCACTGTTATTTGTTGTTTTATATATCTTTTTTATTATAAAAAGTATATACAAAAAATTAGTGTACACTTCATTGTACAGGAAGAAAAATGCAAGCAGTCATTACGAGTAACACAACATGCATTAGTTCATTCTGTTAAGAGAAATGGTGCAAAAAATATCTAAAGTACAAAAAAATAATACAGATATATTGTATTTATATTATTCTATCTTATACATAAAACTTATCTTTCTCCTATACAACTATTTCAAACTGTATAGGCTCGAGCACACACAATAAGGAATCTGGTCTGCGCTACCTCCACTTTTAAGGACTTCTACAAATGATTACCTTCTCTGTCAGGTGTCAAATTATTACAGAAAAGTTTTTCTAAGCAGAAATGGATCTATCAAAGCTATTACTTGAACAAAATAAACAATCTCACATGGAAAGCTGTTAAGTTAAATTATTACCTTTCAACAGCACACAAATAATACAAAACCATCAATAACTTAATTATTTTGAACACTGTATAATAAATCTCATGATGTACAAACAAAAAGTTTGGAAATTTCCATTCCATATAAGGAAAAAAAGGGAGTTATACAGGCAAGAGACTGAGAGAAAGAAAACAGTCCAAAGTTTGAGATGATACATCTGGTTTTGACAACTTTAAAAACAAGAGTTATAAAAAAAATTTGCAAATAGTTAAATTTTACAGTTCATGATATCACCATCCTGAAAAATTCAGTTTCTAAACTATTTTCATTTAAAGTTCTTTTTTCTTTGAAATTTATGCATTTCTGGATTTATTTCGTCTTTTCACAAGCTGCCTTTGTG